CAAGGTGTGCCTTTCTTTTTGTTGTCACCTGCGAAATCTTGAAACTTACGCTAGGTTGATATTCAAAGATGGTTTGCATCAGGGCTTCACCTTGGACTTTTTGGCGATATTGTTCGGCATATATCTTGTCGGCATTAGGGAGCTGAGTGTCACGGCTTCGACTCATAAGAATGATATGCGCCTCAAGCTTAGTGGTTGAGAAGAGCGCGAATACATTCCGGTCACCGGCAACAAGGTGATACAAGTAGATATATCCCAGGGAGCTTGCGTCTTCTAGATATGTCGACTGTGCATCACTCCTGAGTAGCGCTGATAAATCAAAGCCTTGTTCAAGGCCCTTCCCAAGGACACCTTTCTGACTCTCGTCGACAGAACACATATTGCCCAGTTTCAGTAGAGCTCGCATAAAAAGCGGCAATTGACGCTCATAGACGCCTTCAACACTGGGATGGTTGCACAATAAGGATACCGACTCTTCTTCTCGCAAGTACGTGTCTTCAGGCATCGTTAATTGAAACAAGTGGACTGATGGATGGCCATTCGGCAGCACATGGTTGACCTTTTCGACATCACAGCCTGGTATATCCACATTGGGAAGCTCTTCGCCTTTAAGGTTAAGATACAGTATGCGAGGAACTTTGATGTTCAAGGAGTGAATCTTTTTCCCGATGATCACAAACGCTGTTACTTCGCCAGGGCAATCTCCTTGGCGTAATTGCAGAACATGCCAGGTATTGGTGTACATCATTTCCGCTTGGTTGCGGAAGAAGCTGCTGATGGAGTCTGTAGCTACGTTTGGTCTTTCTCCAAACAGTTGCCGTCGTCGCGCCCTGGCTTGCTTTTGTAACTTCCATTTCCTTTTCTGGTGCTCCAGCCAGCCTCGATAGTCGTTGTCAATCGGCGGAGCATTATGATGGAAAGACGCAAGAGGATCAATAAGGGCACATTTCGTTGATTCGGAGGACTTTCGTTTTGCAGGTTTGGTGACTTGCGTCTGAGGCTTGATTTCAGTGCTTAGGGCGTCTTCGATGTCTCCACCAGCAGGAAGATGATCCTCCATGAGATTGACGGAGCGCTCAGTAAGGGGTCTCTTCTGGAGAAGATCCGTCATCTTCTTCTGCTTGAACCTGTCGTCCTTTGCGGTAATTCGCTTTTGCAACCAATCTGGATGTGCAACACGCGGCACAGGGTTCCTGATCTTCTGCAAAGCAGCAGGGATTGTGATGAGCTTCTGGATGACAGAGCCGAGGCGCTCCAGGTAATAGTCCCAGTCGATCACGGCTCTGGGATCCATATCCGCTGGGTCCTCCCTGAGCCACTTTCGCAAGAAGAAACGTTTGACACCGTCATCCGCTGAAAATATCGCAACGGGAATGGCTCGGTCTGTGACTGGGGTATTTCTGGGTTTTGCTGAAATGATATACTTGCAATTCAGTCCTTTGTCTTTGATCATCTGGTCCCCCAGGAACTCTGCCAGTCGCTTCGCGGTTGTAATTGACGTCGATTTCTGGCCTCCATATTCGTCGAGAGTCTTGGTCATGCTCTTATTTTCGCAAATCAAATCAATCAGTTCTTCATCAGCAAGAGTCGATCCATGTGAATGCAGGACGTCAAGCCAGCGGTTTGCGACGCGAGCCACTGCTCCGTATGTTTCCGCCAGAGTGCTGCCTTCTAGAAAGAACCTGAAAATCTGAGTCTGGAAAATTTTGATGAGCTTCAACTCGCCTCGGCGCTTGACCTCAAACCCCTTTAATTCGGCGAGACTTCCGTCGTGGTTGAACACTGCATATCGCTTCTTCAAATTCTTGTCTTCTTCCTTCGAGGTTGGGAGGATCATCGCTTTGTAAGGGCCGTCAACCTCAAAGAAGATCGAATTGTCGCTGTGTATTTCATATTTGAACGTGGCCGGGTCCACCAGACTCTGGTATTGATGATTTGTAAACCGTGCGTGGACTAGGTGGTTGAGCATCACGCAAGGATAAGAAATGGCCATTTTCTTTCCATTTTTCAACGTGAAAACAACATTCTCCGGGAAAGTCGCTGGAAGCATACACCAAATTCCATCGGTGTCTAGCTCCAACGGTCGGCCGATTCGTTCCACAAGCTCCCGGGCCATCTGAATTATGTGCGCCCCAGTGAGACAAGTAACACCGGCCATTTCCATAGAGTACCATCTGGATCCCTTTCGCATGACGTAGCCATAGAAAGAATTGAGAATGACCTTGTGTGCAAGCTGTAAAGAGTCGTAGAGAACGATCATTTTCTTAGCTTCTTCAATCTCCAGAGCTGGTGCACCGGATGATTTCAATGCTTCTGTCTTACCCTTCCAGACCTTTTGCTTCCCTTTGAAGTCATAACGCCTATCTCGAAAGTCGCGGACAGTGTCGACATAAAAGGGATTCTCCCTTTGGCAGATGATTGCTTCCCGTTCGATAGTTTTTGAATCGTGGATCTTGTGGTAGATCTTCCTTGAATATTCTTGGAGCCTTTTTCGCACCATTGCTGCTTGCTCATCCAGACTCAATTCTTGGAAAGTTCGTCTGGGTGCTTTGGGACCTTTGCCCGGAAAGGTCTCATTCGCTACCGCTCTGCGTATCATATTATATTCGTCTCTCTTGGTAGGCAAGAACTCGCCCCTCCATGCCCACGGCAATCGTCGGTCACATGTCTTACCAGGTCGATTGAAGTCGCAAGCGGCACAATCTGATTCGGCAATCATAGAATCAGGCTGAAGGCGATTTGTAGTCATGATGTTGGGATACATGGATGCAACGTCCAAGTGGTAAATCAGAGGACGCTCATTTCTGTTGGGTGTATTCTTCAGGTCCTCCAACTTTTCAACAATTTGTGCTCGAATATCTTGATAATTTGTAACTTCGTCCAGTGATTTCTTTTCTTCAACAGTAATACAAAATTTCAGAGCTGCATCGAGATCGTGCACAAGCTCGTCGATCGCGGTTGTATCGATGGCGAAATTGACAGGAATGTCCGCACGAAAAACACCAGCCTCAATACTCTCCACGTGTCCGCCAACGTACGTTTCGGACTCAAGAAGATGGCCTTCCCAGAAAGCTTCTCTCGGTTCTTTGTGTTTGTTCGGCAGCACAATGTTTTTCTGGTACGCCTGGACCATCAACAACATCTCGCACAAAGTGCCCGTGCCTTTTCGTAAAGTATCATCCGGATTGAGTGGAATAATTGTACAGAGTGAAAAAATGAAGGGATGGATGTACTTCATGTAGAGATAATACGTCGCAACAGCATCAGAGACGGAGTACTCTGCAAGAATTTGAGGATGTTCGCTTGCGTAAGGGGTCATCAGTTCCGGATCGAGCTCATCGGGATCATAGCCTAGCTTGGCGACCGTGACAGCTTTCAGACCTCGACTGCCTTGAGGCAGGTAACTGTCTCTGTTGACCCATGAGAAGCAATCCATGTGGACGCAGTAGTTACTCTGGTAGATATCTTCGCTGTTCTTACGGAATCCGATTTCAGCGTACATGTCGATACCATTGACGCCTGCTCTCGCTTCAACAAACGGCCAGTCGAAAAAGTCTCCGTTATATGTCGCGATGACGGTAGGTCGAGCTGCCTTGATGTGAGAGAAAAACCGTTCAATGCAGGCACGTTCGTTTGGCTCGTTAAAAATGAGAAATGGCCCTTCATATTCCGCCTTTGGGGTATAGTCGAAGTCGGCAATGTCCTCCGAAACGATTTCTCTGTTGGTTATGAGGAAGCCTTGCCCATCAATCATGTAAGAGATCATCATGATCTGATCAATGACCGAATCTGGAAATTTCAAGGGCAGTTTCGTCGTTTCAATATCAAATGCAAGGACAACCGGATCAGCGCGCTGTAAACGCTCCTCCAGACAAGTTAGAGAGACTGAGCCGTGTTTAGCCTCGACCGCATACCATTTTCCAATGCGGATGTCCTTGTCGATGGTAACACGAACATGATAGGGAACGTCGTATTCTCGGATGTCGACAATGTAGTCGCTGGCGTCTGCAATTCCATTCGGTCGGGCATCGGTCGCCTGGTCTTCGTCATACACGTCAAAGCCTGCTGCTGCACTAGCAACCTCTGCATATGTGTCCATGGCATTTACCTTCTCTTTGTTCTTCTCTGCAATAGGCAACAGCACCTTGCGGACTGCGAGCAGGTCTGAGACATTCACAAATTTGAGTTGAAGGAATGTTCTTTTGTATCCAAGGAGGTGGTTCGGCATCTGGAGGTCTTCTTTGGTTATGCGGTTGATTGACTTGACAAGTCCTTCAAACATCCTTTTGCACCACTCCTCGACTTCGCTCTCGCGTCCACGCTTCACTGCTAATAAGAAGTATGGGTCATATTCAACCGTCGCCTTGAAGTTTTCGCCGTCTTCTCCGATAAAGTAGAAGTCCACCCCCGCACGACCGCCCGGTACTCGTGGATCTTCAATCGAGGTGCTGTGCATGTTGTATAGCCAACCCACCCTTCTCTTGCCCGAATCATACCTGGGGAGGCCCATGGCGTCGTCGATGCTGTTGGCCAGCCGCGTTGCTTGAATCTTTTCATCTTGAGAGGTTCCTTCGGTGGTGCGCAGTGAGGAGGAGTCAATTGTCTTCGTTTTTTGTTTGCGTGAGGCATCCCTTCCGAGTCTCAAATTGGAGCCATAGCGCGAAGGCATTCGGACAGGCATTGTGGAACGAGAGAGGAGATATGTCGGATTATCCTTGCCATAGGCAGTATTTAAAACATTTAGTCGTAGCAAATGCCTGGTTGTCAACGCCGAGGGAGCTAGAGTTCAAAGGCCGAGTGTATTGTGAATTTGCGCGTCGCAAATACCAAATATTAGACGTCTTGAAGATCGCGCAAAGGTGTGTTTTAATTAAGACGCGCAAGACGCGACGTGTATAGGGCGGATCGCTTAGTCGCGAGACGCCGGTTAATTTTCTCCACGCAATCTTTCTCCGCAGCTTTTCTCAATCACCATACACACACCACAACTGGCTTTCATAATGGCGGATGATACGCGGCAACCTGACACGCCTCCCACAGATGAGCAACCTCAGTCAGAAGGCCGTCCCTTCAGGCGACCGAAATCCAAGCACGACTTCCCAAAAACCCAGGCTGGGAAGATGTGGGAGATGCTGGGTAATCCTGCGGAACCTGCAAACACCTTGGCCGGAGGAACCTACAATTCCGCAGGTGGCAAACCTCCCGAGGTGACCTGGAGGGATGCCTTCAATTTCTCGTACGAAGGGAAAGGCCCTTCTTGGTATCAGGTACCATGCGCACGAGATGCATTACTTGTCGGGATAGCTTCCGGAGGCGCAGTAGGAGGTTTAAGATTTATACTCAGAGGTTCTTGAACCGCCCGTCTTTGAAAAATTGAACCTTTAGGGTCTGACTTAATGCTAGGACTGTCCTCCATGTTGATCACTACCAACCTGGCAGTCGCTGGATTTGCTCTCTCGGCCTCCGGAATGTACTACTGGTGTGATCAAAGACGGCGTGAGGAGGCAAGAGGCATGGCAATGGCTGTTCAAGGCATGAGGATGCTGCATGAGAAAAAAGCCCGCGAGAAGGCTGCCGAGGATGCTGCACGGGCAGCGGCGGCAGAAATCGAAGAGCAGGAACAGAAACGGAGAGGGCAATGGTATAAATTTTGGTAATGCTATTGTTGTCTTAAGAATCATTTGCTTGCATCGTACGGTGTTGAAGGACCAGAGGCTGGAAGGGATTATTACCACCGCCGCATACGCGTGTCTTATGGCCGGCAATGATGTTTGTTTCGTGGTCGGGAGGTCAGAGAAAATTGCGCCCTATTTGATTTGGCCAATCTCACCCGTCTTCGAAATGAACACGGGCCGCCTTGCGAGGCGAGGACTCGACGGACAATGCATCCTCGCCTTCGTCAAACAGACGTTTTCTCCTCTCACTTCTCTGTTGTCTCGCTTCTCGAGCCTCGCGATTCTTGTAATCGGACAATTGTTGTTTCCGCCGTTGTGACCTTGACCAGGCAATTGCCGCCGTCGGTTTGAACCCGATCCCGTTGATGCCATACCCATCGTCACTGGGGTCGTCGGGGTCATGTCCAGTAATTTCAAAATCTTGCCAAAAATCATTCGATTTCTCACCTGCCAGAGGAGGAGATGTGGAGCGGGAAGCTGGTCCTGAGGACATCTTTGCAGTGATCGCAGGTCCTCCAGCGACGTTCGTCCGAGTTTCCGGCTTCTGGTTGCTCATTGGTGTCGAAAACCGCCGTTCCTGGCCCGGTACTTCAGCCGATAATATTGGAGGAATCGTGACCTGGTCATTCTGTTCCATGCTGGCGTCTTGATCTTCGTGAGCTTGGTGGCCATGAATTTCAAGATCGTTGAACTTCCGCGCAACTTTGCTTCGAGGACTACCTTCATCATATTCTTCCAGATCGCTTTCGTTCAATAAACGGGGTAAGGGTCCTTCTGTATCTAGAGGGTGAGGGAAGCCCCGCTTTCTCTTTGGGGAGTTGGAAGCCATTATGGTCTCAAGGTTGGAGGACAGCGGAAATGCAACAGTGGTTGGCACCAAAAGAATTACTCAGACCTATCCAGCAGTCCACCAGGGAAGGCGTGATAGCGCTTGACGACCCAGTTACCAAGACTTCATCAGACGACATGGGATGTTATCACAATTCAAAACAACAACTGGGAGTAAAGTAGGTGTTCGAGGTGTCACTGAAATAATGACCTTGGCCCTGGCCAATAGCTGTTCCTGCGAATTAAAATCTGACGGTAACAATCTCTCTATCCCTCAATCGAGTTTCATTGGTACCTGAGAAACTAATAACAATTACCTAGGTACAGAAGCCTCCACAATTGCTGCTAGCAACTGTCAACAGAGACTCCAAGGTGTGTCGGAGAGTTTGAAGACGGCTATCAATGCCAGGGGAACTAGTTAATATCTAGTCATTGATCTACGTGCGGTCATGATTCCTGCGAAGAGAGCTTGGAGCGGCATCAGCAAATCGTCACCTCACCAGGACAAATACTACGAGTTAAGGTATCCTTCTTTATTGAATAATCAATACAGTGCCACGCAAGGTTCAATGCCTCCTAGCAGACATCGCAATATAATGACCGCCAACGCCTTGCAGGAAAGAAGCCATTTCCGATCTCCCCACTAATCCCTGGGTCTTGATTTCTTCTTTTTCTTCTCGCCTCCCTCGTTATCCACCTCAGTTACCTTCCGCTTCTTGTCCTTCTTGTCCTTCTTGTCTTTCTTGCTGGCATCGTCTGAGTTTTGGGCCTTGTCCTTATCCTTCTTCTCCTTTTTCCTGTCCTTCTTTCCCTTATCTTGCTTTTGGGTTGCTGTTGGCTCCGCATCAAGAATATCTTCGTCAACGCCTGTTTTGGTCGGGTCGTCGACTTCCATCTCTGCAAGAACCTTTTCCATGGCATCTTTCTGCACCCAACGTTAGCGTGGATTCCTGAGCCTCCAGTCCTCCAAACATACCATGGCAGTCTCGTTCTTGGTGGGCTGTGCTCCCGTCGAATAAAATTCTAGTCGTTCTTCTACTTGTTTCTTTAATGCCTGCCCAAAGATTGTGGATGGACTCTCTGAGAAGTTATCGATCCTGGAGGCGATTGAACACTTGTTGGCGAGAAACCGTGATATTCTCCCTTTGTTTTTCTGCCCAGCTCTTCCAATGAACGAGGAGTGGTACAAGAGACCATACTTGGGTGTGTTGCCTTTGGTCTTTAACGCCCTGAACAAGGCCTTCTCCGCTCCTAGAATCTGAACAGTGGAGGCGGGGTACTTCGATAGGTTCGTCAAACTGCCAGCATGAGAAATCAATCGAGCTCCCACAATTTCCCCAATAAGGGCAGCCAAGTTGGGAGCAACCACACCCATCTTAGAGACAAGGTAGGTATGCAGCGTCTTCCGGTAGTTGGCAAGGCTGACCACTCGTTCAGCGAACAACGTCACATTCTCCATATCTGAAACGGAAATCTCTTGACCCATACTTGTTTTTGCGGCGTCGATAATGCTCTTTGCGATTTCATCGTCATCATCTACCACGGCTGCGAGGTCGTGGAGACTTTCATCAGACAAAATCTTCTTATCCTTCACAAACAGCGCAACCTTGGCATATTTGTGGTTGTCTGAGACGATCTTGACAAGCTCTGGGAAGTGCCAGGAGTACCATTCGCGAACGCGCATGGAGAATGTGTTGATGGCTTTATCTAATTGGTCGAGTATTGCAATGGCTTGGATAATATGATTGTCGTTTTTTTGTACAGAAAACTTGACCTTGGCTCTGGAATATGCATGACCCAGACCGAGCTGTGCAGTGTTAGTGTCCCCTTCGCGGAGCTGTTTGAGCAACTTCTCGGAGTGTAGTCTGATTCCTCGGAGCATGTCCAGAACGACCTCGCTTGTGTCTCCAGTCTCGCACTCGACATTTGGAAGTGCTGTTTTGATACTGGCCGCAAGGATCTTGTCTGAAACGCCCAAGATAATTTTGTTCTTCTTCCCAGCTTTCGGCAGATTGAGTTCGAGGAATGACTTGAGAAAGTCAGATGCGATACCTTCGGAAATATCGTTCAGTTCTGATAGTGCCTGCTTCCCGCTCCTGAGGTATAGTTAGCCATAGACTGGAATGGAAAGGAGGTGCAAGCCGTACTCGAATGGCAGAAAGCTGACGAGGTCGACCATCTTGCCGAATCGTGCAAGGTCTTGAACGCCGTCTTGAACTTCTTTCAGACGATGGCCGACAGCGTCGGCCTGGTGGACGACCTTGAAGATGGAATAGCCCATAGGGCCTTCATGCAAGAGAAAATCGGCCATGGCGCAATCTTGTCGTGGTCGCGCGGAGGGGAGTAAGGATGAGTTACTGCTAGAAGGGTATTCTCGACTCTAGTAAGAAATGAAGCCTGGCAGAATTAAATCAACAGTCGGAGTCGCACGGCCGTGCAGACAAAAGTTCTGGCCATAAACAATGCCAATTATCACATAATATGGTGAGCGTGAAATAACCACGAAATTTTGGACTTGCTCGAAAAAGAATTCTGCAGCTTTACAAGTGCACCAGCTGAAAGTCCTCCGATTCGCCCGTCTTGGCCTTGGCACAAGTACTCGCTTACTCTTACGCCCTGTTCGGCAAACCTTCCAGAGCTAGGTCTGTCTTGGCATGAAATCGTACGTCTGCCCGCCATCAAAGTCGAATCTTTCGAGTCTCGTGTTTCCACCATGATCTGAACAACGAAAAGATGTCTGGTAAGTGAACTTATTGTTTTCGCAACTTCTTATCTGACAGTGCATAGCAACGCAGCTTTTGAACCCCAAAGCCGAATCCCGTCGCAGAGCAGAGGCACTTCGAATTAATATCAACGCGGGGGAAGGCCTCCAAGATGTTCTCAAGTCGAACCTGGGGCCTTCGGGCACAATTAAGATGCTGGTCGACGGGTCGGGTCAAATCAAACTCACAAAAGACGGAGCGGTTTTGCTGAAAGAGATGTCAATACAAAACCCTACCGCCACTCTGATTGCTCGTGCCGCAACGGCGCAGGACGACATCACTGGCGACGGCACAACGTCTGTAGTGTTGTTGATTGGAGAGCTCCTGAAGCAAGCAGACAGATATATCCAGGAAGGTTTGCATCCAAGGGTCATCACGGATGGCTTTGAAATTGCCAAAACTGAGACTCTTAAATTTCTCGACACATACAAAATCAGCCGCGAAGTCGACCGCGATCTGCTCCTCTCGATTGCCAAAACCTCCCTCTCCACAAAGATCAATGCAGCTCTTGCTGCACAGTTGACGCCTTCCATAGTTGACGCTGTGTTAGCCATTCACCGGCCTCCGCAAAAACCAGACCTACATATGATCGAAATCATGAAATTGCAGCACAAACTCAGTTCTGACACCACCTTAATTCGAGGGCTGGTGTTGGACCATGGAGCGCGACATCCTGACATGCCAAAGCGAGTAGAAAACGCTTTCATTCTCACGTTGAACGTTTCCCTCGAATACGAAAAGTCTGAAATCAATTCCGGTTTCTATTACAGCAGCGCCGAACAACGAGACAAACTAGTCGCTTCCGAGCGTCGCTTCGTCGACGAAAAGCTCAAGAAGATCGTGGCTTTAAAGAATGGAGTTTGTGGTTCCGATCCCAAAAAGTCCTTTGTGGTGATCAATCAAAAAGGCATTGATCCACTGAGTTTGGACGTGCTGGTCAAGAACGGCATCTTGGCGCTCAGGCGCGCAAAAAGACGGAATATGGAACGTCTTCAACTCGTCTGTGGTGGAAAGGCGCAAAACAGTGTGGATGATCTCGACCCTTCGGTGCTTGGATGGGCAGGACTTGTTTACGAGCAAACCTTAGGGGAGGAGAAATACACCTTTGTGGAGGAAGTGAAAGACCCAAAATCTGTCACACTTCTAATTAAAGGCCCCAATCAGCACAGCATCACCCAGATCACAGACGCGGTACGGGATGGTCTACGGAGTGTGTACAACACTATTGTGGACGGTTGCGTCGTCCCCGGAGCTGGATCTTTTCAGATCGCTGCCGCGGCACACCTTTCATCAGAAGCAGTGCGCAAAACCGTCAAGGGCAAAGCAAAATGGGGTGTCGCTGCCTTCGCAGACGCACTCTTGATCATACCAAAAACACTTGCCGCAAATTCC